CGTCGCCCTTATTTCATGGAGCGCCTGGCTTCGGTTTCTGGATTCCGACGCGGGTGCCGTTGCAGCGGCGCGCCGCGCATGCGTCGCGTGCCGCGCAGTGATTTGCTTGATCCTTTGCTCGCGGATTGCGGCTCTGAGGCGACGTCAGAGGTGGCCCCTTTTCGGCGCGATCAGTTGTCCTCTGCAGAGCACGCGGATTGCGCTGCGCGGCTGCCGCGCAAGCAGGCGATCGGCGTTTGCTGCGCTCCGCGCAGGCGCGCGCGCGTGCGCGGCCGCGCGCGTGCGAGCCGGTTTCCATGTTTTTCTGGCTCAAGTTCGCGCTGTATTGCGCTACGCAGCGGCATCCGGCGCGCCCGCCCGCGCCGCTGCGGCTGCGGCTCGGCGCGGGCCCCGGGGGAGCTGAACATTTTGTGGGGCAGTTCTCGAGGCGCGGCATCCCTGGCACACTGCGCGAGTCGCGCTCCTGCCCCCGCCGAAGAGCATTTGCGCCGGCGCCGGGGAGGGCGCAACAACCGTCGCGCCGCGCGGCTCATCGGCGATTTTGCCGGAGTTGGCGCGGAAAGCAGCGGCGGCCAGCGCGTCGTCGCGATCGACATTGGCGGGCCGAAAGCGCGCGTGCCCCGCGCTGCTCGGGGGGCGGTCGCGCGGGCGCATGCGGGGGCGCGCTCGTCCGCGACTCCTGCATGGAGCGGGTTTCTTCGTCTACTTGGCGGGGGGCTTCCAGCGTCGCAGGCGGATTTGGCGAGCACGCATGGCCGCGGTTCCGGCTCGGGCGGCCGCGGCGGGCCCGAGGCGGACGACGCCGAGAGCCGGGCGACGGGTTGCTTGAAAACCAGGCGCTGAGTCTGCCCGCTTCTCTAGGCGGGTGGCGGGTGCGCGTGCTATTTGGTCATCTTGTCTGCCATCCTGCTGTTCTGGTGGGGTAGATTTATGGGCAGCCGCACTGGCGGCGCATCCCATGCCAGCGTGTCTGTGCAGGCACATGGAGACGGGTGCCGCGTTGGCTTCGTCGTCTCTCGCGTCAGTGGAATCGCCGTTCTTGCGGCTTGAACTAGCTGTTCGTCTTGCATGCTCCCGATTCGTGGGCGCTCTTTCCTTCTCGCGCGCTGCGTGCTCATTTTCTTGGCGCCGCTCGACCATTCCTTTCGATGGCCCTCTTGGGAAAATGTTCTCATCGGCTCTGCCGAAGGGGTTGGCACTTGTTGGCGCTTTCGTGCGATGGGGTGCTTTTCTGTAAGTTGTTTTGGTCCCGGGCGCATTGCCCGGGCGGCACCGGGCACGGGGGTCCGAGAGCGGGATGCAGTCGAGGCTGTGGTTGGATTTGCGCTGCTGGTTGTGTCTGGTGTGTGGGTGGCAGCTTTATTCCCCGCGCCGTTTTTTTGTTTGTTTTCCCTGTTGTTGCTCATCGTTTTTTTTGTTCCCCCGTTTTTGGCCCCCTTTGTTTGTTTTCTGTTTTGGTCCCAACTGGTGTCGTTTTCTGTGCGTTTTTGTTTTCTGTTTTGGTTGACCGCAATACCAAAAGTTGAAGACGGAAAAAAAACGCCCCCCAGCGTTTTCAATAACAACTAAGTATTGGGGACAGTGCGGCAAGCTGTGCTAGTGGCTGCAGTGGGAATTTTAATGCTGGCTGCACCGGGATAGGCCACAGGATGTTTAAGATGAGCGCGCTCGGAGCTATAGCAGAAGTTGAAGTGAGGGCTGTATTAGTGACGGTAGTAGGAATTGTTGCAGGAGCTGTAGTATTATTTGAAGAAGGAGCTGTTGCAGGAGTTGGCGTAGTAGGATCTGCAGTGGGAGCTGTTAAAGGAGCTGTCGTGGGATCTGTCGTGGGAGCTGTAGCGGAAGTTCTGCAAGAATTGCAGCCTGGTGTGTAGTGGGACCCGTAGTACAGTTGTAATAGAATTTCCTCCTCGTCGCCCTCCTCCTCCTTCTCCTCTTCTCCCTTCTCCTCCTACTCCTCCTCCCTCCACAGACAGCGTGCGAGGACGGGCTCAGGTTTTGAAAGTATCTGGTAGATATGTTGTTTCACTCACATTGCCGCCTTACTGCAACCTATCAACGTATCTATATTATCTGAGTCTGCACATGGCCTCATTAGCAAAACCCTTAAATGTGTATGGGTGATCTGTGCTTTCGCATGACTTCCTTACCACAGCCTTTACACTTATATCGATTATTTGCGTTTGTCATCACACGGCTTCCTTGCCAAAACCTTTCAACGTATCTGTGTTATATGCGTTTTCACCCGGCTTCCCGACCAAAGCATAACAATGTCGAGGTTATCAGGGTTTTCGCAGTTCCTCTTGCCTAGCGCAGCGTCCCTGGGGGGGGGGGGGCGGCGTGAACAAGGTGTGAGGAGGAGGAGGAGGAGGGAGGAGGAGGAGGAGGAGGAAGAGGAGGAGCGCCCGTCTCCAGGAAATTCGAAACTAGATTGATTATCAGTTTGATTGTACGTGTTCCCACATGGCCTTCTTACCAAAACCTTTACGCTTACCTTGGT